GCTAAAGTTAACAGTGTTTACCTTTGATATTGGAAGAATAATTATTTTCTTCATGTTTTCCATGTTTCCAAATTTCAGCAGTAAGCATTCATTATTTTTGTAATCAGAAAAAAATATGAAAAAATAAATAGTAAAATACATCTTGCAAAACAAATCCATTGTTAAAAACTTGCTTCTGAAAATCTGGGTTTGATGTTTTCTAGACAGCAACTATTATTCTCAAAAAAAGTTGCATGGATTATAATTAAGGGTGATTTTTACCTGAAATTTAGTAACTATATGTAAATAATAGCTACATTGAAGAAAGAGAACAAATTTCAAATATTTATTTTTCATATAAAAATAAAGTAGTAAGTCATAAGATAAGTGGATATGCATAACCACAGAAATTCACAGGTTTATATATTTATCATAAGTATAATTGAGTTTATTGCAGAAAATTAAAAACTATCAATAAGTAAAGAAGTCCCAATTGTCAAAGTCAAAATTTATAAATATTTTATTGTCTTTAATTTTAAATTACTATATCCTAATACTTCAAAATTTGCTCTGTATGTGTTAGAACTGTAAAACTTGAGTCAATAGCAGCTCTCATAAGCCTTCAAAAGACTATCACCCATTTAATTTAATGCAGTAGTTTCTTCTAGCCATTGCTCATATGAATGGGTAAAATACACATACACATACACACACACTGCCTGGATTGCTAATATTTTTTTTTACCACAGAGAAATAATTTACTTTTGCCAAATTTGATAGGATAGTCAAAAGAAAAAAAATCACCTAAATGCATGAATAATTATTTTATGATTCTATTTAGGACATTAAAAACATAACTTATGCCTATATGTTCACAGCTGACTTAAGAAGAGAAATGTATTGTAGACAATAATAATCTGGACAGAAATGTGTTATAGACGATAATAAGCTGGACAGGCATTTAGGAAAGTTAGGTAAGGGTCAATGAACTAGCAATAAGCCCAAAGTGGAATGTGATCCTTTCTCCAGCCATTTGCACAAGGCAGAGACCCACAAGAGTTATCTTGATAGAAAAGAGTGCGGGGTAATTATTGTAGCCTGATCATCTACATAGTGTGATTTACTAACCCAAATACAACCTCTACGGAGCTTATGCCTGTTTAGTCGAATCTTAAATTCTACCTTCAAGTTTTATTTTTTCCTAAGATTTTGGGGGTTAGGGGGGTAAGAAGAGATTAACCAAACAACTTATATGCATAGCCCATAGACACAGACAATAGTGTGGTGAAGGCCTGGGGTGTGGTAGGGGCTGAACAGAGGGAGGCA